TTATGCTGGAAACAGCAACTGTACCACAGACCTACGTGTCAGAATCCCAATTAACGAAACGAGGCCAAGCAAGGGCACGTTGGTCTGTAAGGCAAGTGGCTGATTTTGCAAGACCAAGTGTTCACACAAACCTGTATGTTGGGACCACTTTATGGCAATACTAAAAAGCAGGTACGTGGTGCTGTACAGATTACAGGAAGTGAGAAGATGAACTCAGAAAATGTTTCTGAGGTGTTAAAATGTAACATGTGTGTGGGACAGAATAGAGTAAAAAGGTGGTGAGAGATATTTGTGTATTTAATGATTAACAGTAGGACTTTGGTCATGTATTTGCTACGAATATCTAAAAATGATTGTCAAGAAGTAAATGTACTTCCTTCTAGGCACTGTCAATATCTATCAGCTCAGGTTACCTCTTAGTTTTAATTGAAGTCTAGGCAATTGTAATAGGTTAAGAATCAGTTTTTGGTTAAACTTATGAGTAGGTGTATTTATATAAACTCTGAGTAATATTTTGAGATTTAGACAGAATTTCTAATGTTCATAAAATTCATCATATGTGTCTGAAAATGACATTGTTACTGTAGTGATAAGAAAAATAACCTGACAAGTTTTCCTTTTGATTTAAACAGCAAGAAGTTCAGAAACTAAATCAGAACTTGTTTCAGAAACAAACTAGATTTGAATTGTTTCAATTTCAGTAATCCTAGATAAAATAAGAATAATTAGGAAAGATATATAGAGAAGTGTCTTTCTAGTGGAATTTTACATCCAACAATGCTCTTCTTTTTAATTCATTGTTATGTGTCAGATATCACAAAGGGGAGAAAACTTTGGGTTTTGTTAATAAATTTTTGTTAATAAACTATCCAGAGTCCTGTATCCTCACCAGAAATTCTTCTCATTGCTCATGAAAGAACTTTAAAAAAAAGTAAATACTTCAAACATCCTAATGTGGTAGTGCTGTGAACATGTGTTCTACCACTGTTTCATACAGATGACATTAGCTTCTAATTTATATTCCCTTTCTTTCCTAGGCTGAGTTATTGTTCACCTGCTGTGTTTCCAGTGGATTTTTTTGTATGCTTTAACTTACAGTGGAAACTCTCCCAGTCTCTCTTGAAGTGTTTCTCTTGTATTTTGAGTCAGGTCAGTGTACTTTAGCAAATGCAGTCATTTTGCATTTGCTGAGTTCAGAAATGTGATCTTTTCCAGTAGCCATTGGGCTCACATTTTCCTGGTGTGCAGTTTCTCCCACTAGATTTACTGAGTAAAATGTATTTCTTATTGCCTGTTAGTGAGATTTAGACACAGTACATAGTCCTTACCAGTTTCCTGCACTTACTTCTTTCACGGACCTCCTGTGCTCTCAGTTGTTATGAAAGTTTCAGGTCTCAGTGTTCCATCTGCTTCTTGGAGGTCCAGTTTCACCAGCTCTTTCAGCCATGCTTATTCTTTATGCAACTTGGTGGGATTTGTGCTGGATCCCTAAACATGTATCTTCACTTCCAGGTCTTCTTCATGCGTCACCAGACTTTTATTTAGGAAGATTACTTGAAAATGGGTTCTTTGTTTCTCAGCCATTCATCTGTTGCCATTCTTGGACGTAGTAACTGTCAGTGATTCAGTCATTTTCAGAACAACCTGTTGGGATATCATAGGGGTCATGATTTAAAGGAAATAAACAGCTAATATAGGTGGCTTTTAAGTAACAAAGATGCTCTTGTCCTGTAAATATCTAGAGAGCAAAGAAGCAAAAAAGGAAAAAGATAAAATCTCTGAATGCTTACAGTTAGATGACAGTTGATTTTTTATATAATTTCACTTGTTTTGTTTGCTACTCATCATATGTTGATTTGAAGACCTGATCTAAAGGACAAGGGTTTAGCAAACTTGGACTGGCATCTCTAAATTCTGTTTACTTAACCCCAGAAGTCATGTTATATCCCAGTGTACTCAGTCTTCCTTTTGAACAATAAATCAAACTGACTGTGGGGTTGGTTTGACCTGTTGTGTTGGTTGTTTGGTTTTTGGGGTTTTTATTTGTTTGTTTTTAAGTCTGTGGTTTGCTTGTGGTTTGATCCCCCCCTAAGAAAAGAAAAAAAGAAAAAAGAAAAAAAAAAGGGGTTTGTCTCAGAGTTAAAGTAGTTCAAGTGACGCTTCAACAATTTTGAGCTTGTTCTACCCTTGGAACAAGTTGAATTTGCAGTTGAACTTCTGCTTCAGGATTCACAGCCTACGCTCACATGCTCACAAGTGACACAAATTTTTATACCCTATTCCTGACCGCAAAATTCCTCCCTTGTTTCCCTATTGGTGAGGTACTTTTAAGGTTTACAGCCTATCTGATAAGCCTATGGAGTCCCATGTAGTTTAAATCTCCCACCCCCTTTTTATTGTTTTCCTCCTTTTTTTTTTTTTTTTTTATAATAAGATGCTAGGCAGTTACTCAAGCAGCACATCCTTCTCTCTAGCCAGAGATGTCTTACTTAGTTCCTTCCATGTCATCCTTATGTTGTGGGAGCTGAGCCCTCCTAGTTGCAAAGACAACGTTATCATTTCTCACCATATAAATGATTATCCAGTGTAAGTTCAGTCACTGGGTGCTGTTTCATGCTTGCTTCTTTGTACATGTGCAGCGTGATGTGCAGATGAACAGACCCCAGCAGCACTTGTTACAGACCTAGTTATGTTAAAGTGTTCCACAGACAAGAGCAAATGTTTGAGAAGTCTTTTCAGAATTAGATTATTTTTATTGTTGTGTTTTCATTAAATTTTTGATATTTTAAATTGTTTATATCCTAATAGGTCATCAGACCTGATCAGCCTATGGAGAAATAATTAGGAGAGGGTCCCAGTACAGACTAAGGAATGACCTTCTAGGAGCATAGATCAGTGGCTGTTGCACTACATCATTTTGATCTTTCTTCTGTCTTGGCCATCTTTATTCCATTACATTACTGATATTCCTCTGGATTTCTCCATCGCCTATCTTCATAACTTAATGATATATTTATTTTTCATAGTTACTAAAAGCTAAGAGTTTTTTAAGCAGGTGTTTGTGAAAATACAGATTTTATCTTTTTGATGAGTCTCCAGATTTCTGGTGTTAAATATATGGAAAGTAATTTGGAAAAAAGGACCCTTTTCTCCACGTTGGTTTTAGAAACACAGGAGTTTATTTATTTCCCTCTTCTACATGTTTTCCTTGTGTTATATGCCAAGATATGAGAGCCAGACATTTCTTGTTCCCATTCCATAAAATGTGTTTTTTACACTGTGTTGAACTTCTTAGTTTTAAGGAGGTTTTCTTGATGTTGATATTCTCAGCAAATATGTATACATCTAAGTAAGTTTTCAAGCCTTAAACCTACTGAGCAAGATAGGCTGAAGATTCTGGTAGCAAGGATTTGTGAAAAACCCAAGCATCTTTAGCGTATAGTTTGTGTGCTGGCAGCATTTCCATCTGCCTTGAACTAACATGAATTTTAATTTTATACAATGAACTGCATTGCTGCTGAGTGTAAATGAAGTCATCCTAAGAGTCAGCAGCACTGAAAGCAATGTATGTTCAAGTACAGCATCTGTGAATACAAAGCTGCCCTTCTGGGACACTGTGCAAAATGATGTAACTGAGTGAAAAAGCCCTGCAAAAATATATTTCACTTGCTGTAGTCGAGTGTCTTCACTACAGTTACCTTCATGAGGCTTGAGTATGATGCTTTCTTGGCCGTGCAGTGGGATTGTACTGTATGAAAAAGCTGTTCACAATAACAGCTGGAGATACTGAGGTTTTATTTTGCTGCCCTGCACCTGTGCTTCAGCACTGCTACAAAGAGGGAACACTAAGGAAAGCCTTTAATGCTCGTGGGGTAAGTTTGCAAAGAAATTAGCTGCTGAAAACAGGCTGCCCTTTTAAAATGCTTAACTGTGTGTACACTTGCAAAATTCAGATAATCACCTGTTTCTTTCTCACAACTTTATCTAAGTATTCATATCCCTGCAGGAGCAACATAATGTCAGAGATTCATGAAAAGCCCAATGGAATATTTTAAACATTTTTGTTTGGGTGAATTAATTTCTGTAACTGCTGAAACACTCTTAGTTCTTGGATTAAAAATCTTGTACTGGTAAAAGTATTTATTTCTGGAAATGTAAATGCCTTGTGCTGAATCTCAAAGTTTTAGGTACTGTGGAATTTGCATAGCAAGGAATTAGACTTAGAAGTGTTGTTGCTACTGAAATAAAATAAATGGTTTCTTTGATAAATATGATAATGAGAGGTGAAAGCATGTAGGTAAAATTAAAGCACATTAAAGTAAGATTTTTTTTTTTTTAGTACTTCTGCAATTCTACTTTATTAGAAATGTTTGATACTATGAAAACACTAGAAATGTTTGATAGTCATATCAACACACTACTGTGATAGCAGCAATATACTGCTGATGAGACAAACCCAGTACTAAGCCACCTTTGGTTACCGTTATTGCCATTGGTATTCCAAACTAATGAACATTGAATTTAAACCTGTGCATTAACTCAGGCTGTGCAAATTTGGATTGCTTCTTGATTAAATCCTATTTCAGACTGCACTCACAGTTGCAACTTGCACTGAATTTTTGGAAGAGCATGTATGACTAGGTGAGCTCATTCTTCTGATAGCAAATGGCACTTATGAGAAAATACAATGGTTTTGTTTTGGCTGTGGATCTTAGTTGCTTATCAGTAACTATAAAATACAGGTCACGTATCAGCCAGGTCATACTACAGGACTTTAAAGTAGCTTAGTTTCTAAAAAAAGATCCCTCTTGGCTACGTTAAACTAAAACCATCAACAGTAGGATTCAAATGGTTCTTAGATAAATCACCACCAGTTTGGAACAGGACAGGAATGCAATATTATCATGCCAATAAGTTGTTTTTGGTTTTTTTCCCCTTTCTCACTGCTAGGATTCCAACAGGAAAATTTTCTTGACCGTGTGTCTGGGTAGCTCTTGAGGATGGCAAGCAAAGGACCCACAACCTCTACATCAACAAAGAACTCCAGTACTGGAGGGACCAGTGGCAGCAGTAGCAGTAACGGTGCTGGGGACAATACTAATCAGGACAACACTTTTGAATGTAACATCTGTTTAGACACTGCCAAGGATGCAGTTATCAGCTTGTGTGGACATCTTTTCTGGTAAGTACTTGAACCCCCACAGATAAACCAGAACACTGTATATCTCTCTGATCATATAAAGGCTATGAATTGTATAATTCTATAATTCAAATAAAATGTCCTGTATAAAATTAGTAAGGACCGTGGTTTTGGGTTAGGAACAATTTGGTTTTGCTTCTCAACTGTTTTTCTTTGCTCATGTTCCAGGGAGTGGGTTTCTTGCATCCTAAACTTCCCGTACTTCTGGATTATTTTGTAAAAGCAAACAAACAAGTAGCCCCACATAGACAGTTCAGTGATCACTGATACTGTTTGCTTACGTGCGTTATTTTATTTGTACAGTCTAGTCCAGCATAAGTACCTTGTTCAGATGTAAATTCCTTTCTAACCTGTGCATACCTGAATCTGCATCTGAAATTAGATTCTGGAGGCCAAATTGTAGTTTTCATACTTCCTACAAGCTTGCTCTTTTTACCTTGGAAACCATAAAAAAATAGCTTTTACATGTGGGCTGTTTCTCTTTTCCCATGGTACTGCAGTTGTAATACTAACGTTTCAGTTATTTGATCTGACCTGGGAATGTATCACACAAATATGATAAGCATGCAGCATTTCTTATTTGGGTAACTTGGTCTGGAATATGCTCTTTCTTGAATGTTAAGAAGTTGTTAAGGATTGACATGGCCAAATGGTTTAGGGGGTTTTTTTGTTTATTTTACACAGTAGGCTAAATTATGCTCTTTATTAAAAACAGGCCTAAAAGAGCATTTATTTTCTGTGTAAATGTTTGTAACATCTGAAAATCCAGGTTTTTATTCTAGGAGGAGATGGAAAATCACTTGCTGATGGCATGTTAAAATAAAATTAGATTAAATTATTGCACAAAAATATTTGGAAGAATGGAACCTTAAAAATAGTATGTATCTTGTCTGAATAGAGTTGTCAAGACCACTTTGAAAGCAGATGGTTGCTTAGCAGTTTTATCTTGTAGCTTGTTTGTCTTTGGACCTTTTTTAAGTTGCCATATTTAATTTTAGGAGTAGTTCTGTATAATGGAAATTCCTCTGCCCTGGGCAACTGGGTCTGATCTCAATAGCTGACCCTGCTCTGAGCATCATGTTGGACTAGAGGCCAGATGATGTACTGTCCAGCTTGAATTATTCCATGATTCTGTGAATGTGACAGATGTTTTACCTAATTGTCCCTTGTGTGACTTCTTTTAAGATCCTGAAGTCTCATTACTGACATCTTCCTCATTTACATCTTAGCTCAGGGATATCTTTTCATGGTATCGGAAGAAAAAGTCTGTGCAGTAGACACTAAGATTAATTAAGCCTCTGTAAGAGCCTCTGGCATGGATGAGGACCCAGGAATCAAAGGTGATATGCAGAGAATCACGTTATCAGCTTGCACAACCTGAAAAGACCGGTGGAGATTGGTGTTGGGCTGCGCTTTCAAAAATTATTTTAATGGGAGGTTATGGAACTGGCCTAGCTGGATTCCAGGATTCTGTTGTCTCCAAGCTGTGCTATCTGTGGTACACTTTATACGTTTGTCCCATCAACTTGTCAGTAACTAATTCTATTTTCCCCTCTTTTACTGCTTTGTGAACAAATTGTCCTGGGAATGCTCACAGCTGGCCTTGTTTACACCAGGTAAGACAGGTTTCCTTTTACTTTGTCTTTCATCAGCTTCTGTTACTCAATAAAGCCGTTGGTTCTCTGGAGTATCCCCCTCTTTTTAAATGTGCTTCTTTCTCTCCAGGGCAATTGCAAACTGCTAATGCAACTGCATGTGCAACACCTTGCAATCTGCTCTTTCAGCAAAAAGAAAACTTAGATTCTGTTCCACTTGCCTCCCACTTTTGAGCTTCTTGAGCACTGAGTATTCCCAGTTTTTGTAGGAGAATAACTGTAGGCGGCTTGCAGGCTTAAGTGCTGAGTGTACTTCTCTGCATATGTAGTGTTTCACATTGTGGTACCATTACAGAAAAAGCTGGATGAAAGGAGGGTACCTACGCTAGCCTTTGGCCTATGCAGGGCTCTTGGTACCGTTTATTTCTTCATATTTTACTCCAGTGCAGTTCTGAATGTGTATAAGTCAGCAAGTGGATCACAGCAGAACAAAAGCCAAAATGCCAACTCCACTTTGGAGAGTACTTGGCACTTACTGAAATGTTTTGCTCCTTGGCTTTCTGAGAAATTGCTAAAGTCTCTCTACCTTGCTGCAAATGAAGTTTGTATGTGTGGTGTTGTTGTTTTTATGGTCTTTTACTAGTTTTCTTATAATTTCCTTTCTTTTAGTGGCTAGAGACCAGGCCAAACAGACAAGTATGTCCTGTATGCAAAGCAGGAATCAGTCGAGATAAAGTTATTCCTCTGTATGGAAGAGGTAGCACTGGGCAACAGGACCCCAGGTAGGAAACCTAAATACAGCTATTTCTGTGTGAAAACTAAAGATGAAATTTTAGTTTAAGGTCTTAAGATGAAACTTTCAAAGTGCTAGATTCACAGTTTGAAATACTTTGTCAAAAGACAGATAGAACTCACATTTGTGCCAAATATTTCTGGCTTTTTCAGGGCCTGGGTTTGCAGACCTTATTTCTTGTTCAACTGGCAATTTATTTTAATTTGAGTTGGGTGTTAATTGTCGGTTACAAGTGTCAGGTTGCAATGAGTGTTATCTGACTGGAGAAGCTTATATAAGATGTTCACATCCTCAGTTTCTAGCCTTTGCAATGGGACCTTGTTATTCAGAAGTGCAGTATCTTAATTCAGCGATGTGATGCTGATGGTTCATAAGCTGGCTGGTCTGCTCGCTCACACACTACCTCCAGCTCTGCTGCAGCGTGGCCCTGTCAGACCGTGCTCTGTGTCTGTTCTGTCTTATTAGCCAGGCTGTTGCAGATACTATTGTCCTGTATCCTTGCACTTGAGCTAATTTCACAACTTCCTGCAGAGAGAAAACTCCACCACGACCCCAAGGACAGAGGCCTGAACCAGAGAACAGAGGGGTAAGTGAAAAAGCAAGCTTGAGCAGATATGTTGATTTTATTGATGATGGTATTCATTCATTCTGGAGGACATAATGTGTGCATGAGATCCTGGGTGAGGATCCTATAGTTTACATTTCTTGCTCATCCCCAGTAGGTTGTTCATGAAAAATCGACAGCTGTGGTGAAAAACTCGAATCCTATAGTGTTCTTTAGCATCCCAAGGGATGGGCTAACTTGAATCGTGCTTCATGGAAACAGTCCTGTGTGGCATCACTGGAAATGCTCTTCATACTTGATCGTTCTCCATATATAAATACAAGGAACACTTTGCTTTGAAAATTCTTTGTAGCAATATATTTTTGTCAAACTATACCTGTCATGGAAACATAATCCATGTGTGAACTTACTTTTTTGGCACTGACACCTGCTTCGAGCATTTCTATGGGATGTTACTGTAGCCTGGCAAAAGAATGTAGATATCTGTTGGATACATGTTGAATTGAAGAGGGATCTGTGGCTTTGTTGAGATTACGCAGAGCGAATGTAAACAGCAGCTGGCATAGGTTGAACAGACGCGGGAGTAGCCAGTAAGACCACGGTGTTCTTTAGCGTGGTGGCAGTGAGCGTGACCTGATGAAACAATTGCATATTTCTGTGTAACTCAGCCTAGGGTCCTTGGAGAGCGTTTGTATCCTCATGCAACAACTCTGCTGGGTGTGATTAAGAAACATTTCTGTATTGAAGGCAGTGGGAGCTCAGTTGTGTCTCTTGCTAGGGAGTTGCCACCTTATTATACCTTGTTTGAACCTTTATACCTGCAATACCTTTATACCTGCTCTGCCTTGTTTGAACCTTTTAGCTGTGCTGCGTAAGTCAGAGGAATCTGGTATGAGGACATAGCAGTAGTGATGCTGCCCTCCTGTTTCCTACCGGTGCAGGCCCTGCCATGCAGAGTGCTTTGCTGTCCCTGGTAGTTAAAGGCAGTACACTGGAGAAGAGTTGTAGTCAACAGACTAACTCCTCTGTTAGGACTAAGGATCAACCCAGAAATGTTTGGCTTTTATTAAAAAGTGAGTGAAAAGTGTGAGTGAAATCATCTTTGCCCTCTCACTGTTTGGAAGTGATAGACCAGAGGGTTTCTCAGAACTGGTATCTCTTTTTTTTAATTCTGAGATGAGAGGACAGTTTGCTGGATTACAGAACATGGCGACTGTCAGCTCTCCACAGTTTTTTAAACATGGCACAACTACTTAGATTAATACACAGTTGGTTCTCAAATAGCACACTGCTTTTATACAGCAGGATTCATCTTGATTCAGAAGACATCTTTTGACCTGATGTGGTATTTTTAGTCTGGATCCCGTAGGCATCAATGTTGTTGCATTGTAACTCTTCCTTTTTTTCCTCCTTTCCTTATGTCTTGCATTCCT